CCTTCATGTCCCCAGCCCCCTCATTTCCCCAGGCCCCTCATTTCCCCAGGCCCCTTCATGTCCCCAGGCCCTCCCTTGTGTTCCCAGCCGTCTCATGTCCCTGGGCCCCTTGTGTCCCCATCTCCCTCATGTCCCCAGCTCATTTCCCCAGTTCCCTCGTGTCCCCAGCTCTCTCATGTCACCAGCCCCCTCATGTCCCCAGGCTGTCCCCAGCCCCACCTTGCTCTCCAGGCAGCAGAGGCATGTTCACATCCTGGGCAGGATGCAGGAGCAGGGGGCCTCTGGGCTGTGAGTGGCTGGGAGGAGAGTCCTCAGGAGGGGCTTTGAAGGGGCTCTTGACAGGGCTGCAGACCCCCGAGCTGTCCTCGGGGCACAGGAACACATCAATGGGGCCCTGAGTGCTTCTCAACGAGACCTGGAACGCCTGGGGAGGGGACAGGAGTGACACAGGGTGGCACAGGGACAGACAGAGTGTTGGGGAAGATGAAACAGGAAAGCCTTATCAATATGATTGCCTGGCAAAAGATTTTGAGAATATGGAAACTATAAGTGAGACTGAAATGAAAGCAAGCTTTGAGATACCTCAGTTACTGAACAACAGGAAAACAATGGCATGACTGGCTGAAGGTGATCCCTTTTTGATGGAGCAACACCCTCTGCTTGCAGACAGGCCCAAGGGCCAGAGCAGACCCCACTGGCTTGGCAGAAGGGGCCCAAAGAGGAGTTTTTAGGGTTTAAAAAGTAACACAGTGTGGTAATGTAATGATTCTTATAGGCTGTATGGAAATGCTGTAGGATTTGTATATTGTACTAGATTGGTTAGTGAGAATGAGAATATTCAACACAGAGGGTGATTTATTGTATTGGAACGGGAACCTCGCTCAGTTATGCTTTTACTCTTTATCCTTTTGCTCTCTCCCCCTCTCATCCTCTCCTCTCTGGGGCCTGCTCTGGGCTGTGTCTGGCAGCTCCCAGCAGGGCCCTGCCCCCAGGCCCTTTGCAATGAACCCCAAGTTCCAGCCCTGGCTGCAGAGATCTCTCGTGTCCGTCTGTGCTGACCGTCCTGCCTCCCAATGCTCCTACAGCAGAGAACCCTGGGCTGCTCAGGGAGGGCACAGGAGGAGCAGAGCGTGACCCCAACTCACCTCTGCAGGGTCTGACACCTGCAGCTGGGTCTCTGGGGGGGCTTTGATCACCATCACCATTTGCTCCGCGGGGTCCACGATGCTGCGGAGGTCCTGGCAGGTCACATAGGCTGCGGTGGGGCGGGTCAAGGAAGGGACACACAAGGGGATGTGGGCTGAGCACCGCCCTGCCTGCGCCTCCGGGGNCAACAGCAACCTGAGACAGCCCCAGCCAGGAAAATGCTGCCCCAAAACCAGGGGGAAGGCAGGGAGGGAACCAGGCACGAGAGGAGCCAAGTGGGGACAGGGGCTGCTGGAAGGAAAGCAAACCCCCTCCAGCCCCATCACCCCATCCTCCTGCAGCTCAGCCTCTTTGGGGGAGCAGGGAGGGCAGGGTCAGGCCCGGATCCCACCCTGGGGGGGACCAAGCACCAAAGCACCTCTGGCAGCCCCAGGTATGGACATACCTGGGCATGGATTTCAAGTCCAAAATAACCCCAAACCTCTCAGTTTCTCAGCTGAGCTCCCACCACCCCTCACAGCCCCAGGCACCTGAGCACAGGCAGAGGGCAGAGTCAGTAGAAACCTTTATTAAACACAAAGCTCCGAGGAACACAAGCTCGTTAAATGGCAGTAAAAGTGAAAGTGCGTCTCCAGCTCGGCCCAGGGGCACCCCAGGACCCCCCTCCCCTCCTCTCCCAGCCCCAGTGGCCTGGGCATGGGCAGCCAGGGCCAAAGGGCTGCACAGGGAGGGGAACGAAAGCCTGGAGACAGCACAGTTGGGTGCTCACCTGCAGAAATGCTCCCCCTGGCCACCTCTGTGTCCCCTGAGGGGACAAGCACACGGTGCCAGGGCCACCAGCCCCGTCCCCACTGCCACCTGCCACAGCCATGGCCTTGCCAGCCCCGTTCTGGACCCAAGCAAAGCCAGGATGTGCTGGTGGGACCCTGGTGACACCCTCCATGTCCCACCAGCACCATCCTCCTGCTCCCTCCATGTCCTGGGAGAGCTCCACACGCCATAAATAATAAATAAATACCCCACGCTCAGCCAGGCCGTGGGCAGCCCCCAGGCAGGGGGACAGCCTTGAGCCAGCACCCCCCACACCTCCACCACCCCCTCCCAGCACAACAAAAACTCTCAGCACCCCCACTCTGCTGTACAGCCCCCCCAAACCCCCGTGGAAATGAAACGCTGTCCCCAGGGGACAATAATAAATTAATCAAATCATTAATCTATACACAGGACTGCTTAAAGCTCTGCAACGGGCTCCTGGGGGGCAGTGGCTCTGCCCTGGGCAGTGCCCCTGATCAGGGCCCTATGGGGGGGCTCCCCAAGATGGGAACCCCACCCTGGCATCCTCCCCGTGGGGCTGGAGCTGGGGATGCCACCGGGCTGGAGGGATAACAAGAAAATATTGCAAAAATGGGTGGGGAACAGGGGGCACGGGAGCCAGAGGGGCTGCCCTGCCCTGGCACTGCCCCAGGCACCCAGGAGGGCTCAGCCTCAGAAGTCCAAGGGGGTGAAGTCCCCAAAGTTGCAGTCGAAGAGCTCGCTGATGCCCTCGCCCTCCTCCAGCCCGAAGTGATAGTCCTGTGCCTGCGGCGGCGACAGGTTGATGAACTCATCGGGCAGGAAAGCCGCCAGCTCCTCCCTGCTCTGCTCCAGCAGCATGTCCATGGAGGCCAGGGGGGACAGGCTCACCTCCTCCTCCTCCTCCTCCTCCTCCTCCTCCTTGGGGCCCTTGCTGGGCAGCGTGCTCGGCCCTGGCAGCAGCGCTTCTGTGGGCATGGCAACAGCTGTAAATCCCATAATACTCCCCCCGAAGAAACCCCAAAAAAGGCTTTTGTGCCTGGGAGGATCCTGCCTTCCCACCTCCCTGCCTTGCTGGGGTGCCTGAGCAGCGTGCCAGCTCCTTGCTTGTGTCACTACAGAGGGACTGAAAGCCACCATGACATCCCACCAGCTCCCTGATGTCCCCAGCCCCCTNCAAAATCTTTTGCCAGGCAATCATATTGATAAGGCTTTCCTGTTTCATCCTCCCCAACACCGGGGTCTCTCCCCTTTGCAGCACTACAGATCACCATCACCATCACCATCAGGATCCACCTCGGGACTAAGCAGAGGAGAGGGGATGGCTGGGCAGGAGCTGGCATGGGCTGGGCTGGGCACTCTGCAGTGTTGGGTACCTGTTGCTGATTCCCTGACTTCTGGGTTATGGCTGGGCCCTCCCTGGGGGCTCCCCTGTTGGGGGACACCCTCCTGGGGTGGTTCTGTGTCAGGAAAGAGACACACACTGGATTTTTTCAGTCTTCAGGTTCTTGTTTATTATTGTCTTATCTAAAGTTGTGCACGCTGTCCACACCAGGCTCAGTGCACAGGAAAAGCACCACAAAAATTGCCAACAATCTCTTGCTCCAAGGTCTTTTAAGACTAAACTATCCAATTAAGAGCTGACACCTGGATTATTTTCCCTTTTAACCCAATAACTGATCCCACAGAGCCCACAACGGGGACTTTTCTGCCCAATTACAAAATGCCACCCAAACCCATGGAGAAGGTGTGGGAAGAGAGGCACAAGGGTGCAGGCAGGATGCCAGGCAGTGTGGTGGGCTCTCTGTGCCACCCAGCAGCCTGTGCCGACCTGGGATCCCATTGCCTGCTGCTGCAGGAGCAGGGGGAGTTTACACAACGTGCTCAGGGTGAAATATTTATCAGGCTGTTTAAAGGAAAACCAGGCAGGAGGAGGGGAGAAAGGGCACAAACAGAGGCAGGAAGGAGCACAGCCCTGGCTGTGCCACTAGGGAGCCCCTGAGCCCCATCCGGGCTGCCTGGAGCCCCTGGGAACCCCAAGCTCCCCTCCCTGGGGATCCCCAGTGTCCGTCAGTCCTGCTGTGCTGCAGAGGGATCAGGGCAGGGCTGCTGCTGCTGGCAGTGTGTCTGTCCCCAGGCAGCAAGGACACAGGGACCTCGAACTTTGGGCCAGAGAGCTGTGCCAGCAGGTGCCTTGGGGCAGCACCAAGGGCTGGGTGAACGGGGAAAGCTGGGAACTCAGTGCAGGGAGTGGCTTCACACTGGCCCCATGCTGTAGCCGTCGGAACTCAGCACATCCCTCCGGGTGCCCAGAGTTCCCAGGACCCCATCGGGGGGCTCAGAGACCCTGGCACACAGCCCAGAGCACCTGGGGATTTGATTGTGACCCNCATTGTTTACATTTTGTTCCTGAGGCCTCCCAGCTTCTCAGGAGGAAAAATCCCAAGGAAAGGATTTCCCATAAAAGATGTCTGCGACAGACAGGTGCTCCCAATCCCAGAAAGCCACAGCAGGGAAGGGGGACATGGCCCAGGTGTGGGGGACACCAGGGCTCTGCTCTGCTCCCCAGCACTTCAGGGAGGTGGAATTCAAGGGAGCAGCCACTTAACAGCATCCCAGAAATAAACAATGCTGCTCTTCATCTCCCTAAGATCCCTCCTTTGGAGGAAAGAGGAGAGGGTTGGAAATAGGGAAGGGTGGGGTGGGATGGGATACAGAGGTGGGGCTGGACACCCCTGCCTACAGAGACCCCAAACCCCCCTAGGACCCTCTGAAGGGGATCAGATTAAAGGTACAAACCCTTATGGGGGGCGTTAATGCCACGGCCAGCCTGTCCTGGAGCTCACTCCCCTGTGGAGCTCTCCTGATTCCCCAGATCCCAACCCTACAGCCCATGGCCAGGACACCCCAGGGCTGCTGTTGGTATTTAATTCCAATACCTGGGCTCGGCACCGTGGCCACATCCTGCCCAGCATTTCCCAGTGCCACTGGGGTCACCATGGTCCCTGTGGGGTGACACTCCTGGCAATGAGCTGAGAGCTCAAGGATGAGTGCAAGGTGCCAGCCCCTGTCCTGCTGCCTTCACCTGGCACAGAAAAGCAGCTTTGCAGCAGATAAATCAAACCAGGCAGTGCCTGGGGCTGCCTCCCAGCGCTGCCATGTGCTCTTCTACCATCAGCTCCCTCTCCAGGCACCCGAAATAGCAGAGGGAAGCCCTTCAGCTGCATCATGAATCATCCTGGGAGGCACAGTGGTTATTTTTACGTGGCTCACGTGGAGCTGGGCAGTGCTGCTGCAGTGGGACACAGCCCAGTCCCTGTGGTGGTGTTCACAGGGGTGCCAGGATGAGGGAAGAGATGAGCCTTCCACGTTTCAGAAGGCTGATTTATAAAAATATTATTTTATTAAACTATTTTATAAAATTTTTAAAATATATTTTAAAATAGAATATATTATTTTATGGTATATATTATATTATTAAAATAAAATTATATATTATAACTATATTAAAAGAATAGAAGAAAGAATTTCATCAGAAGGCTAGCAAGCAATAGAAAAGAATGATAATAAAATCTTGTGACTGCTCACAGCCTCAACACAGGTGGTTTTCATTGATCATCAAGTTAAAAAAATTCACATGCTGGGTAAACAATTCTCTAAATCTCATTCCAAAGCAGGAAAACATGGAGAAGCTGAAGCTTCTCAGCTTCTCAGGAAAAAAGATCCTAAGGAAAGGATTTTTCATAAAATCTGTCTGTGACACTTTGCCTTCTCTCGGGGGAAAGAGGCAGAGCTGTGCTGCTGCTGTGGAGCTGGGGATGGCAGTGCAAATCCTCTCCCCTCTCCTGTGCCCCCTGGATCCCATAAAAACCATTTCCTGTGCTGGGGTGT